TTTAGTGTGTGCATGGATCAAGTTTTGCAATTAATTGTCGTGACTACATGTATTGCACTGGTGAACACTACGAGGTAAGTTTGCAACACATCCCTTCTCTTTATGGGATTTCCGTCTACTCAACTTTCTGCGTGATCTGCCAACCAATAAAGAATCTATGGGCAGTTTAGGTAATACTTGAAGTAAGGCTGTGTACTGTATCAGTCTAGTTTTTGACATGGAAGTTATGTCAAAAATTTCTTTACAAGCAAATCATTTCTTGTAAGAATTTTTAAACTATCGATTGATATCTTTCCATTCCATAACCAATGATGTATAGACTTCTTCTTGCTCTCTGATATGTTTTTGCTTAAGCAATGGCACAGTCGCCAGATTTTAAAAAAAATCCTGCACTAAAATGACAATTTATTTCGCTGATCTAAATTGGTTAGGGTTGATGCCTATAGAATATTTGTACAATCCTTACTACTTTTGCATAGGGCGGGATGATATTTTCAAGGACAAATTATGATATAAATGCTGTATTTTAATTTTTCCCTGCTTCTTCTTATATGTTTAAAGCTGATTTACGTCAGCACGTTCAGATGTTCTCTTGTTCGCCAAATACGCGCTGGGATGCCCAGGCTAGGCAGTGTGTGTTCGATACTACATGTGCAATTTCTCCATATCCATCTCAGGTGCCATATTCTATAATTATTGTAATTGTGAGACACCAAGATTTTCGGAACAATGTGATTTTGCGTAGGAAGCCTGTCGAGAAGGTGATGGCATCCCTTCAGTCGATTGTGTGAGCTACCAAATATGCTCTAAAGGTTCTTATATCACAGCTGCATGTTTGGATAACCATGGGTATCCTGCTGGTATGTTAGACTATGTGAATTCTATTTAAAAAATGGTTTTTGAAATTTTCCTTCGCAGTTGCTTGCTCCCACTGCTTCTCACCAGCCGATACCTATCCAGTCGACCAATTGACATTCCCGGGACAATGCTTACCTGGTGAGCAACTTCCTCATCCACAGGATTGTGCGGCGTACTATGTCTGTTACGAACAAAATTGGCTCTACAGAAGGTTTGCTAGTGACCTGTCGTCATTACGCTTCTAAAAAATCCATCGATCTGCGCTTAGATGCGAGCAATCAGGAACAGTTTACGATTCTTCTTCACAATCTTGCGTCAATGGCCAATGTTCATCTTCCGTACAAGTGCAATGCCGAAATGGAGAAGTACAAAAGACAATTGACGCATTTTAAAGCTTTCTCTAACATAATGTTTTTCTAGAGAATAATTCATAAAGACCCTTTGATGTGCAATCGCTTAACTGAATGTCGTCATGGTTCCTGGGTGGATCTCCAATGTCCAAAGGGCTTCATTTATGGTAATTTCTGCTTACTACAAAGATTTATCCTAAGATCACGTCTAATCCGAATTGAAGCGCATTTCTAGACCCAAGCACTTTCAATTGTGTTCGGGGCCAGTGCCAAGGAACTCAACGATATCCTGAGGTTCTACCACCACCTAGTATTCCTTTACTGCCAGATGCGATGCTAGGTCAAAGTGGCCCAGCCCCTCCCCCAGTTCATCTCGAAGAGGGGATACCTGTGAGTTGATCAGTGCTACACAAGAAGGGTTGAGTGAATGGGAAAAAGCAAATGATTTAGTACTTTTAGTACACACCTGGTCGATTGGGTTTCACATATAACTACTTTACTTCTGCTTTAGGAATTTGTCGCTCCCTCATGTTATGGAAATATTCGAGCACCCGACCAATATGACTGCTCTAGATACTGGGAATGTGGTTCTTCTGGAAAATTCCACAGCGTGGTAGAAAGAATACTCTTTAACCTAACTTGGGTCTCTAACAACGGATTACAACGATTATTGTAGGTGTGTCCCAATGGGAAGATCTATGATTCTAAGAAGAAAGTTTGTGTAAAAGGGTAAGTACTCTAGTAAAATCGATAATTTATTGCAAGATGAGATAATTTTTTCTTAAAATCAGAGAGTGTTCATCAGTAAAATGTGTTGAAAGAAGTTTCCAG